TTATAATTTAGATGCTGATAGAACAAGAGACATCAAGTCTTTGTTTTGATCTTAGGGAAACATACATTATCGCGCAAAATTGTTCGATCGTGCCGAATCACTGCGACGTCGAGAAAAACAGAACCAAGCATCATTGGTATACTACTCCACTATAAGCAGTCCGTTGATAAAAAGGGAAAGCAAACTCTGCTATTTTCCAAAAATATGCTCAAACACAAACAGTTCAAAAACATGGCATTTACAGGATCTAACTCGTACTAAGGTGCCTCTCTAAGTCCGTTGAGAACAATCTGGACGAGCAAACGGTCGTGTTTATCTTTGCCGTAAATCCAGATAAATACAAGAAGGAATGTAGCCGAATTTTATAATGTTTCCTTCGCCAGGAGTTAAGTTTCGTCACGAAACTCATGGCCTGATGCTCTTGTAATCGTTTACAAAAAACGGCCGCCGCCAACTCGATAGCCGCTTCATTATATGTCCACATACTTTAAGCACAAGAAAAATCCAAGAGCCAGCAGCCTCTAAAATAACTCAATAGAAAGGTTCTGTGAACTATAGGGAAGATTCCGTCAAAGATTCCATCACTCTCTGTGGAGTAGCCGTCATTAACTCTGCCATTACAACGGCCGCTGATAAGAGGACACAGTAAATCCACGTAAAAACATTCCACAGGCAAACAATTTCAAAATAACGCCAAAAAATTATTCTGTAATCACCATAGAACGATTCTTAATACAAAACTTTGCTAACTATCGAACGATGGCTGAGATTTAGACAGATAAAAACAGCCTTCCAAAATCTCCGACAGAACTTGAAAAAGTCGGGCCGACTTTTTCAAGTTTGTTTTCATTGGCTCGCGCATGCGTGTGGGGTGACATAGCCACTTTAATATAATTAGGCCGTGTTTTCAATAAAAACGGTTTGGAAGCTTTAGGATTCTTTCAGAAGACGTTGTTCTGACACGAGGATCTTGTTCCTCTTCAAGTTCTTCTTCATCGCCATATGTCATGTCCCTTTCTTCAACCCCCGTTCGAGACATTCTTCGTAGAGCTCTTGGTTTAAATCGATATGAAAATCTTCGTCTGTTAACTGCACTTTCCAAACGGCTCCAAACACAAGATGTTTCTCTACCTGACCGTAATTGAATATTAGACCATCTTCGGGATCGCTTGCGTACAGGTGTGATTTTACTTTAGGCGAAGTTCTCTTAAAGGTTTTGTGCAAGCTTTCCTAAAATATAGGGTCCAGTGATACCTTTGAACTTAGCGATCAGTATCGCATCGTCCTTTTAACATATTTTCTTTTTTATTTTAAAGAAAAGGATTTCAATACGGATTGCTGCAAGCGGAAAATATAAGAAGTGCTGTTCGCAAAGCAAATTTTTTATCTCTGCTCGTGCTCGCAAAAAAATCGCAGTGCTCACATGCTCGCAAAGACCATTCGCCACCCCTTTGCTAGGGGATCGCTTCTCTTATTCCTTCTCTTAACCCTTTTAATAGACGGTCCGAAAACCGGGCTCCAGTTACTTAACGGGCAAGCCGAGGCAAGTCTATTGTGCCTATTGTAGTCGAGAGACGCTCATTAGTAAACCAACGAGGCTTATTTTCCAAAAATAATATAGCAGACTACTGACAAGATTGAAGTTTCCTTTTTCTCAATGTAGGATAAAATTAGACGTGTAATTAACATTTTTTTTAAATAGGATAGCCGTACTGTAAATTTAGGATGATACAACCTACCAAGACTATGAATTAAATGATTTATTACTGTATTATTGTATTGTGAATTGAAAATCGACGGCCTCATGATTTCTTCCAATTTTGCGGTGCATGAAAGCGAGACTAACCATCAGGCCTCAAGAGTTTTGTTTCGATTCCGCGTCTTAACGATTGACTCGATCGATACGATTTGCTTGGAGTTGCTGCGTGCTTAGGAGCCATCAAAAAGGAGATTTTACTCCAGCACACAGTAATTTAAGGGAGTTCTTATAACTCCAAAAATGGGGTAAAAACTTTAGGTGCGGGATAATCCCTTTATGGGATTAGTTTAACTCCTGATTCAACTCTAAATTTTGGGGTCATTTTTACTCCTCAAAAAGAGTTCTTTTAACTCCAAGTCTGGAGTTACAAAAACTCAGAAAAAGGGGTTATTTTTACTCCTTACATGGGTTGTTTTTACTCTTTTTGAAGTTACTTAAACTCTGAAAGTGGAGTAAAAATTTTAGGCACAGAAAACTCCCTTTTTGGGGTTATTTTTACTCCTCAATATCAACTCCAAATCTGAGGGGAATTTTTTCTCTTGAGAAGGAGTTCTTTAAACTTCTTTTTGGAGTTAAAATAACACCCCCCAAAAATAACTCCACTGTCACAGGGTTCATACAAAAAAATGCAACAATTTTTGAAGGACTTTTCAAGGACCACGTTAGGTTTTCAAAGACCACCTACTAGGAATATAATTTCACATATTGCACAAAAATGTACATTCCCAGTCTATTCTAATAAGGCTTTAAGGCTTGAACTGCTTGCTTCATTAACTTTTTTACATTTTTCAGTTTACTTGCATTAAATTGATAGTTTTAACTATCAATTTAAGGCAAGTTTAAGGTTTTGGTATTTGCAGGTGTACTGTTAGTGTTTTAAAAAACACTAACAGTACACCTGCAAATACCAAAACCTTTAACATCTTTTCATTGGCGACTTATTATACCGTGTTTACACTAGACCCCAAACTTAACGGCTTCACCCTTTCAACAAATATCGAAATTTCCAACCACCTTCGCTGACATGTATTAATTTTCTTGAAAACGCAAAGTTTTTTGCGGATGGACTTTTCGCTCGCACGAATATGATAAGAAGGTAACAGTCACTGAAAAGCACATATGTTTTAAAACGCTGGTTTTCGGTAGCCGTGTAAAAGGAAAACGGAATTTTCAAAAACGATGACGTGATGGCATCTGATTTTGTTCTTTCAGGTAAAATGTCCAAGCTTGTTACTTCAAATATTTTGCTTTTTTTAAAAAAATGCAGCCACGCGTGGACGAGGTCTTTAACAAATTCAGTTCTGAGCCTACATGTAGCTCCTCTAAAACAGACATACTGTTTTTGTGGGACGTAAAGAGTTCTTTCCCTTTTTAGCCTTTTTAATATTTATGTTCAAGTTTACGGATTCTTTTAATGTGAACCAACGTGCGCTTGCAGCTGCATCATTTACGCTTGTCAGATTTTTTTCCTTTCAATTCTTCTTTCTGTCCAGGGCTGACAACTTCTTCTGAATTTACAATAGTCAGCCTACATTTGTATAAGGAAGTTTGTCTCGTTATACCTCCAGTTTTTACCAGAAATGTGTATAGTGATTGTGTAATCCCGTGCACAGATACATTACCGACGAAGCCGAGTAGAGATCTGGGTAAAGAATTGGTGACTGTGTCTTTCACCATCTGTCGTCGATAAATTTCTCACGAAACCGAGGTCAAAACCGCCTTCACAAAATTGTTTCTATCACAGTCGGAGTAATCACGTTCCGTTCATGTTTCGCGCCAAGGATTGATCATTGTAATGACAAAATTTAGTAAAACATGTTACACTCGTGATCAGGCCCCCATTGTTCAAAAGCTGGATAGCGCTGGATAAATCACTGGATAAATCACTATCCACTGGATAAGTATTAGGGAAACGAATTGCTCCATCCAGTGGATAGAGATTTATCCGGAGGATAGTGCTATCCACCTTCGAACAACTGAGACCAGATTGAGTATGTTTGGTGCAAGTGTGAACATAACAATCAAACGTTTTCCAACTGAGGGTCTTAAAAATGGTATCCACCATTTTACGAAAGAAATGTAGACACTTGCCCAGTATACTAAATTGGCAAACCAAACTCATGTTAATGCGAATGGTAATTCTAGAGACACTTTAAAGATAATATACAGCAAATAATAAGGTGACAACAAGTTGAAGGATAACTGAACCAGATACTTACTCAGAGAGGTCCTGTTTGAAAACTGTATTGGTACATGAAGGTTATTTTCTAATGGATCTGATACCGTGCCATAAAGAATAATACTCCATTTCACCAAATACCCTAATATGAGAATGAAATTATCTCTAAAAATCTTCATTATAGTAAAAATACTTATAAATCGACTCAAGATTCGTAAAAAATTAGCCTGAGAAAACAACAGATATTTCACGACGCCAGCATTGGTTTTCACGCAAAATAACGCATGAGGAAGGAGCGCAGAAATTCCATACTCATGACTTGTCAATACCCAGTTCGAGGTGGTGCTTCTAACTGGTCCTACCGCGAGGGAAATTGAAAGCAACTAATCTGAAGCCCTATCCTGACCTGGAAAGTGACACGTCATAAGTATGAAACTCCGCTTTTGTTTGTCAGACGTCATTTCGCGAGAAAACCAGTGATGGCGTCGCGAAATGACGGCAGTTTTCACAGGCTATTAAAAAATTACATTTGAAGTACGCGCACAACGGTAAGGATTCACCCTTCATGCTGAGCTCGCTTATAGCTCAATCACCTAGCAAGGATAGGAAGTTACAGAAGGTTTAATCAGATAAGAACCGAGGCTGGTTTTCACTAGCAAAGGAGTCGGAGTCGGAGACGGAGTGGTAATCAGAAGCGTAGAGCTTATGATGAAAACAGCGTTCCAGTTCTGCTTACACTTCCGTCGCTTACGCTCCGCTTATGATCTAGTGAAAACCAGATAGTCGGAATCGGAAGCACAAGCCGAAGAACCAAACCAATCACAAAGCGTGGGAACGTGCATTGTGATTGGTTTATCCTTCCGCTGCTACAATCTGGTTTTCACTAGATCATAAGCGGAACGTAAGCGACGGAGTCGTAAGCGGAGTCGGAAGAAATGGAAACGTTCGGATTCTTCTGACGTCGATTCTGTCGCACTTATGATTCCGCTTACGACTCCGAGTTATTGTTCTCGCAACATCTGAAAAGATCTTGAAAGTTAAAAGATTGTGCAGATCACCACAAGCAAACCCTCCTTAGTCCAATTCTTTGAGTTCGCGCTTCTCGTGGGCTCTCGTCGTCTCTCGTGAGCTCTTAAAAAAGACCTCATTTCGATCATATGGAGCTTTTACCGACGACAGACTTCAATGAGTCTCGCCTGTTGTTAAAGAGTTTAAACTCACATGCATGAGCTTTTGTTTTTTGTCTTGTTTGTTGATGGAATTTGAAAAATATAAATGTAAAAAAATAACTCGACTACACCCCCCTACATTTGCAGGTCCGTTCTCACCTGAAAATTTGTAGTTAGGATAACGGCTCTGAAGCCGCAATAGCCAATCTCTTTGAGGATCTTCGCCCCAGAAATGCATACTAAGTATCGGCCATTCATTGAAATCACTTGCTATGACGTCATTAGCACGATAAGGAAGAATTAAGCGAGGTTAAAAAGCCTTCTAGATAACCACGCCTATCAAATCTGGCGTGAAGAATCACAACAACGTGTTCCAAGTAGTTGATCTTGCCTTCCTGGTTGCAAGTTCTATTAGATACTGTAAGATCCACTTCGATATATTGCCTGAAAGCTCTACATGAAAATGGAAGAAATTGTTGGACAAGTTTTTAGTGTGGAGAATAAGGTGAGCGCCAACAACAAGCTACAGGAACTTAGTCCGCATCAACAGGGACGACCCAGTTGACACATGGCAGGCCCACTTTCTCGTATGAACGCAGTGAAGTTTTAAAAACTGCCAAAGTAAACATTTATGGCGAGATATTGAAAACCAATCCAGCGGGAGTTATCTATAAACAGGCCCTTAGTTCAAAGGAATGTAAATCACTTTGAAATTATGCCTTTCCTTACTAAACCATATTTTTTCAACACACTTCTCCGTGTATCGCGTCTCCATCTATCCTATATTTCTTTTAACTATGACAGATTTCCGCCCGTAAAATTTCAAAAGTACGTGAAAGGAAATAAAAGGAAACCGAACTCGTTACCTGTGCATATTTGGCTCCGTTATTTGGCATTTGATCTGTTTTGGCACTGTACGCCATGATCTTGAATAATTCACCAATGCTGCAGCATCCATAAGACCAAATCCAAAATAACTGCTGACTAAAAATCAAACCATTTCAATGATTTTCAAACTAGCCGTTGGCTGGAAGAATTTATAAATTCATCTCGAACCTACAACTTACATGCGAAAAATTGACAAAGAAGAAAACGCCCTTTCAGAAAAAGCAAGAGAACAACTCGTGGCCCTCTCTGAAAGGATAAGGAGTCTTAACTTTCTTATCATCATGTCCAAGGTTAAACGTTTATATAAAAAAAAGAAGCAGACTGTTAAATACGACAATTAAGAATTTGGAAGAGGGAGAATTCTTATACCAGAAAGCTTAGAACAAATTCCGAGCTCCAGGTGAGAATCGAACTCACGACCCTCGAAGTTTTCGTCAGAGCGCTCTAACCACTGAGCTACTGGAGGCTCTATGGCGAGTAGGATCGAAATTTAATCATAACTACACCATTCAAAGAGGACTGTATCGCGTGACAGAAGAGGCTACTTACCCCATAACCCTGCCGCATTTTGTATCCAATCATCAGAACGAGGCACACTTGAATTGGAAGAATAAGCAATCAAGTGCTGAGCATCACGCCATGTTACCCTGGGACTATGAACAAATATCTCGGCCAGTTTTTCTAGTACCAAGGAGATCAAATATCTTGTAATGATCTGAAAACGGTGACGCTAGACGCAGGCAATGACTGTCATATTCATTTTATCATATATAGATACAGCACAAATTGTGGTGTGATTAATTATTGATGTCTAGGTTTAACTTAAGTGTCTCAACAACAGTTTTTTACTAAGGGCCTGTTTATATGGAGGTGAGGAACCCCAGGTAGGAAAGCTGGCCTACTTCGGGGGGGGGGGGGGGGGGGGACCTGTAACCCGCCTGTCCATATAATCCCTCACATGGTCACCCCGCCTATCATATAAACGTGATCAAATTAAAATGAGAGATTATACCGTCAGGCGGGTTACCTCACCTACCTGGGGTCCCCCACTTCCATGAAAACAGGACCAAAGTCTTTGGGTGATTGCATCATCTACAAAACCAAGAAACGGCCAATTTGATGGTCAACTTTAGTCAGAAAGTAACGCCTTTATCAAAGCATAATCTATCAAATTTTGAAACAAAATCGCCTACTTACTTGTCTTCCAGTGCTAGCGCTATGATCCCGGATGCCATCGACGCCGACACAGAAGTTGCTGAGAAAGTGGCAGTACAGGTGCCATTCAAGTCTGACGTAATCTAGCAAAGTTTACAAACAATGAACACGTTTTACTTTTTAATTCGAGGAGTTTGAACTGTTTCAAATGAGTCATCTTTCACAGACTCCTTTCTAGTAGGTGTCAGAGAAGGGTATCAAAGGATTTCCCCAAGTTTTCGTGTAAAGGAGGGCCGTACTGCTGCTCAGAACCTTCAATAAATTCTTAAAGCGTCATGAAGTTATCGTCGAGAAGTATAACACTACACTGCGGAAGTTGAGGTTTTGCATTCAGTGGTTGAGTGGAGCCGCGATATCCTTTGTTAATTTAGATTATTTCAGTATTCTTTCAGTTGATGTAGGTTTGAATGTGCTTGCTTTGTTTACTTATTTAATTGACGTGCGTATTTGGTTTGTTATTTAACCATAGTTACTAAAGTGGAATGGTTATGAAACTCGTTAGACTCCTTTGTTACGACGTTTTGTTAGCTTTTTTGGACCTGACCCTGCCCAACGTTCAGTAACATTCCTATCATTTTGAACTTACTGACCAATACAAACATCGCATTAATTTATTGAGTCACGATTTGTGAACAAAAAACATAGGATTATGCACGGTCAAGAAGCTTCCAACATAAAACTAAAGCACCGTTGTTTTCAACTTTGATGTTTGCTGGCTTCCATAGTCATTTTCCCTTACTCAGGCTAACTATGATTTAACGCATTACATTTTATTTAGACTGTTTCTCTCCTCATAAACCTTGTCAGTATCTGTACCCACATGATAGTGTGTAGCTCCCACCAAAAATGTTCTACAAATGGTATAGGATATAATGGAGCAGAAACCAATTGTGGAATTGCACACATTTTAGGTATCCTACCGTGGAACAGTTACGACATAGGAGTTATTTTGAGCAACAACAATTTGCTGTCTGTCCCCTTTGAATTAATTTGTGACGAAACCCTCCTTCCGATACACGAAATCAACTATGAACAGTGTAGATCAAACAGTTATCAATGAGTTTTGTCAGGTTTATGTTATCATTAACTTTCATTCCACGTCATCAACTACTTTCCATCCTCAGGCAAAGTTATTAGTTCAGTTAGATAGTGTTATAGCAGCTTTTAGTAAGGCCAGGTGCCAAATGCTTTAAACGCGTCTGTTAGACGTTCAACGACAAAATCTTGGTGACATCCTATTCACGAGAAAATGCAACAATGAGACATGCACATTTGCACAACGAGGCGCTTTCAGTCACTTCTTTGTTTCCAAGTAAAGAAGCGCTACTTATTTTTCCACTTTCTTTACAGGGTGAACAGATGGACGCCGGTGAAAACCAGTTTTCCAGCCGGTGGAAACCAGTACTCTTTGAAATCACAACAGAAATACGGGTAATCAGTTCCTAGCGCGGGAAATCGCGCACGGATATTTCACGTCTGGTGTTGGTCTCTGCGTTGCATGTGATTGGTTGAAAAGTGGTACGCAAGCTTAGTTTTAGCCAATCATCACTGAAGCACAGTGACAATTGCAAGAACAAAAGTAAACAAAATTATTTCTGAAACATGACTACGACAAGTTTGCTTTTAGTTCTTGCAACGATGAGAAGAAAGCAAAGGACAGGGTGGGTCTACAACCTTTTGTGTTCTAGCAAATCACCATAGGAAATAACCTACAATGTTCTCTTTTCCTTTTAGATCATCCCGGCTGTAAGTTGAAGCCATAATTGCTGAACATCTCTCAGCATATCCTGGAATACTTCCATTTCTGTTGACTCCAGAAATCGCAATTGTAAAGATGCTGTTAACATAACCATTGTACGCGCAAATATCGTAGGCTCTTCCACCATTTCCTGCCGCAAATACAAATATGGAGCCTCTGCCCTGTCGCCCCTGTAAAGAGAAATACAGCAAAATGGTTGCAAAAAACTAAAAGAAAAAAAAGGAAAACAACATTAATTTATCTCCTCTTACTTTGATTATTTAGATGGTTAAGTGGTTATGATTAAGCAGTTTAAATAAAATAGGCACTCGAGAGAGTGCATGTTTCAAAAGCTACCGTGATTTCGGGTCGATCAGTACAAAATCGAGTGATACCCTTTTACTAACTGTTGCTGCAGGTAAAAGGAAGGTGAGGGGTTATGCTATAGCCTGTTCACTCCTGTATGATAAAAAAGGAAAAAAAAAAGCAAAAGAAAACAGAATAAAAAGCTAAGGACTGTCCACTCTGGTACTTCAACGTAATTTGCCAGAGCATTTCTAAAGAGAGTAGCTTTCCGGGTCGTTTAAGAAAACTTGTGCTCAGAACGCTGACAAAATCTTGTTTACTTGATTCTGTTCCCACTAATATCTTGAAAGATTACCTTGATGAGTTACTTCCGATATTATCAATAACGATAAATTGGCGCTTGAATCAGGATTTTTCCCTGACATTTGGAAAGAGTCGGTTGTTACACCACTGCTAAAAAAACAAGGTCTTGACTTGGTTTCTAAAAACTTTCGACCAATCAGCAATCTTTCCTTTGTTTCAAAATTGGCTGAAAGAGTGGCAGCTGATCAGATTCAGTCCTACTTAAATGAGCATGATCTTTTCCCTTCATTGCAATCAGCCTATCGACGGCACCATAGCACAGAAACTGCCCTGCTTAAAGTCAAGAATGACATTTTGATGAACATAGAAAATCAGAAGGTCACGTTGTTAGTGCTTCCTGATTTAAGCGCCGCGTTTGATACCGTGAACCACCGGATTCTCTTAGATCGCCTCCAGTTTGATTTTGGAATTTCAGGCTTTGCACTTGATTGGATTGAATTGTACCTTTCTAACAGAACCCAGCGTATCTATATAGACGGAGTTCTATCGAATAATTTTAATCTTAAATTTGGAGTTCCACAAGGCAGCTGTCTCGGGCCATTATTGTTTTCTCTCTATGCTAACAAACTTTTTAAGATCGTCGAATCAAATCTTCCTGACCCCCATTGTTATGCAGATGACACGCAACTGTATATCGCGTTTAGATCAGCAAATGATTTGGAGGAGACCGCTGCTATAACTGCCATGGAATCATGTATTGCTGATATCAGTCAATGGATGCATTCGGATAAGTTAAAACTGAATTCGGATAAGACAGAATGTCTTCTGATTGGAACGCGACAACAACTTCAGAAAATCAGTAACATCAGTACCTTATCGGTCGGGGACTCCCAAATTGCTCCATCTTGTGAAGTTCGAAACCTAGGAACCTGGTTTGATTCTAAAATGAGTATGCTAAGTCATATCAACAAAACTTGCTCATCCGCTTCCTATTATCTTTATAACACGCGTAGAATTAGGAAATATTTAAGTCGTTCAGTCACCGAATCATTAGTTCATGCTTTTATCACCAGTAGAATAGATTATTGTAACAGTCTACTATATGGCCTCCCGAATTCACATATCATGAAACTCCAACGGATACAGAATGCCGCAGCTCGGTTGGTCACCGGAACACCTAGATTCTGCCATGTTACACCATTGCTTTTCCACCTTCATTGGCTTCCAATAAGTTACCGTATAAAGTTTAAGATTCTACTTTTGACATTTAAGTGCTTATTTGGTCAAGCTCCTAATTATTTAATTGATTTAATTACTATCAAAAAGCAATCCAGGTACTCTCTAAGGTCAAATGAGTCTATATTCCTCGAGTTACCAGGCATTAAGACCCATCCAACTCTTGGCGATCGTGCATTCCTGTCAGCTGCACCTTATCTCTGGAATGCATTACCTTCGGCAATTCGCAACATGAAGAGGTTGGACGCTTTTAAGACTGCTGTTAAAACTCA